GAATGATGTCGGTTTCACGGTGCGTCTTGTGTGCACCGTTCGACAGTGTAACGCTTCATTGGCGATGAATTTTTGATGCGAAAACTTTGAGTGGCACCGGTACATTTTCAAATTGTTTGCATTTGACAAATGCAAATAGAGCGCCGGAGGGTTTTACGCAAGGGACAAAGCTAAATCGATTCGGTAAATTTTTTCAAATTGGCCGAGGTCATGTCAAAACCCAAACCGAACGGAAATTTAACAAGATTCTTGAAGTCAGAAGTGTCGAATCCGTCGCATTGATTGGATTTTGATTAAAGTGCTTGTGGAAAGAAATTGGATTTTACTCAATGATCCAGGTGAAATGGGCAATTTACCATGGCACAATGGCGATTTTTGCACCTTGTTGCCGTCCAAATCACTTCTCGATGAACACATCTCTCTCTCTCTATCACTGATCGGCAACAAATCGCTTTCGTACAAATGGGATCATTAAACTCTCACTTTCCGCTTCGAAATGCGTTTACACTTCAGTTTGCTGGCATTTGACACGATTCAGACATTTATTGAATGATTTTGCGGAAAAAACTCGTCGGTGCCACAATTTGTTGGTCGATTTGCTAAACGTTGTGCTTTTGTTATCCAGGAAAAAATTATTATGCACACCAAAGAGAGAGAGAGAAAAATAAAAATAGCTGGAAAACAATTTCGTTGAATCATTTAAGCCTCGCTGCACAAACGATACAATCAATTTCATTTTAATCTCAATTATCTGCACTAAAAAACAAGCTCGGGCAAAAAATACATTTTGGTACAGTTCATTTTACGCATTTGGAGCCAGAAATTTTCGCTTAGCTTGATTTAAAAAAAATTGAACTGGACTGGACTGAACGCGCTTGCCCTCAAATATTCATGTTCGCTTTGACTATCTGCAGATAGTTGTTGCCATTTCGCTTTTCACTGGTTCTCTCTCTCTCCCTCTCAATTCGATTTTAATTAAAGCGCCATTACGATCTGCATTCTCGTGTTGGTTTTTGAGCCAGTTGAGCATTTTTTCTATGTAGTTTTAGTCAAAATCGATATTGCATAACGTGGGCATTGTGGGCGATGTGAGTTTCATTTTCCCATTGTGTACTAAATGCGAAAAATACCATTCCAACAACAACATTTCATCGAACACACACACACACCTGCCGCTCGCGCCAACCCACGACAAACAAATTAAAATTCAGTGCAATGCGTTTGAATGCGGTTTGCCATTCCCAATTCTACCGAGCTGAAAAAAGCAACACCAACTCTGCATGATCTCAACGCTAACTATGATAATTATTCCACTAACAAACGAATAAACTTTCATGCTTTGCATATAAAAAAGCAGTAAATAAAATCGGTCGAAGTGGAATTGAGAAGCACGGCTAAACTCAGGTACGTCCATGCAGTCCAATGCACAAAGTGCCAACGTACACTTTTGGCTAGCATCAATATCGAATTACTCGACATGTTCGATTGATAATTGGAGAGAACAGTTCAAAATGATGCTTCAACATTTATTCAGGAAAGGTGAGAAAATGAAGAAATTTTTTTTGGATAATTAAGTAAAATAAGAGAGAGGCAAAATGACTCGTCCATGGAAACGTTTACAAGAAGTGTTAAAAGAAAGCGACTAAAATCGATGAATATACCAAAAAAAGTGGTGCAAACATCGCAAAAACTAATGTTGTTTAAATGGAACTTCACAACTGATGGATTGAGAACAACACAGAAATGGAAAAAAAAAACAAATTTTGCAAATTGAGCAAAACCAATGAATAAATATGAAAAAACGAAGAAAATACCATTGTGAAACGGTAAAACTAACAAGAAAAATCCTCCAACGTTATCAACAGGAAAAATGTTAAAGTATCGAAAAACTGTAAAATCCACAAAACTTTGAAAACTTCTTGAATTTTGGTTCTCTTGTCGAACTTAATAGCCTCCGTTTTCATTGCAATTCATTTTTTAAAGCAAGTAATTAGATTTATCGAGGTTTTTCACTTTTTGTTTTGCTTAAAAGTTGCCGAAGAAAATCCCGTAAATTTGTGCTAATCGGCTTAATCGTATTTTTCCGTTGTACGAACCGTGAAAATGGCGAAATAATCGTTGTTAATTTATTAGAAATAGTTATAAATGGCTCTTGAATTGAATCCGGATTAAGCGAGAGGAAATTGATTGACTGTGGACTTAAAGCCGTTTTTTTTGCACAAACGATTTTTTCACTACTTCTAGCTCATTTTATATTTAAAAGCCTATTGATCGAGTAAAATGAAAAAGGTGATTGAGCGAGTGAAGGGGAAAAGGTGAATTACCTCCATTACTCCATGGAATTCAGTGCAGCCACGGTAATATTCCCACAAGAGAATTCCATTCAATTTTTATGTAATTTTATCGACAAGCGATCTTCTTTTTTTCCTACTCTTAAGCTCACGCGAGCGACTAGTTTGCGTTGGTGAACCTCGTTGAATCAAGAAATTGGATTTATTACTTAATTTAATTCAACAAAAAAATATTGACTGTTAACAGAGTGTGTCTTGTCCATGGAATGGGGGTCGTGTAAATTCAGAAAGCATATGCTGACGACATAAATAAAATTCGTCCCTCGTTTCTGAAGTGCGCGTACAATGGAAAATTGAAATAGCGTTGATGATAAGCTATCATCATTGTTGCCGTCGTTTTTATTGCTCAAGCTAGATGGGATGAAAGGCAACAGGAACGCGTTTAAATGTAAATTATTCAATTTTAAACCGTTTTAATTTAGTGCGAATGGAGTTTTTGCACGGGTGCTACGGTTCGGTTCCGATTCTATATACTTGTAGCAGCTGAATTGGCAGTGTTCGCGTTGTTTTCTCAGTTGTTCGCATAGATTTTTAGTTCGACATCACGGTTTTGTTTGAGTTCGAGACATAGTTTCCATGTTGCCGTATTTTTGCTGTGCACTATCTCCGCTTGGATTTTTAATTGGTCGCTAATGAGAAAACTATTTAAATTTATAACACAAGTTTCATGTTGGTGATTTTCTGTTGCTTCTTCTTCTCGACGCTCGTCATTCTTTCGCTTTGCAACTGTTTCAATAGCTTGTTTTGCGACTTGCGAAATGAGTTTTTGCAAGTGAGGTGGTGGGTGTGAGCTAGCGAATCGGCGGAGATAGAGAACAGAATACAGGAAAAGAGAAAGGGAAAAGAAAGAGGAAGTAAATTCTTTCGGCGAAATTGAGAGAAATCAGACAGATTGGAAGTTTGCGGGAGTAAAGAGAAAACTGCAGAACAACGTGCATAGGAAAAATAGACAAAGATCTAGTGGAAAACTTCTTCCATGCCTGCCGTCAAATTCGTTATTAAAACCGAAAACCTCATGATGTTTTTTTGATGTGACGTAGGAGAAAAAGTCGATTCAAAAATTGGAATATTTATGATGCTCGCTTCCGACGAGTCAGTATATACAAGTATATTCCATGGTGTAACGAAAGAGCTTTTAATTTGTAATTTGAGCTCTATGTGAAAATGGTTGCAATGTATGGGGAAAAAACGTGAATTTCGGGCGTTGGATGTGCTTTGGATTGGTTGTAAATCGTAGTAAAGCCGCCGGTTATTTCTGGGCTTCGGTAAATTAATGCTATAAATTTGTGGCTCCGTATAATCGAGTATGCCTTTTTCTTCGGTATAGTTTCTTCGGTTAGAAAAGGAGGCCATTTATTTTTACTTCAAGTGCGTCGAAATGGCCAGAAATCATTGCTGCTGTACCTTCGAGCAGCAAAATGGCCATTTAAAACCGGGACTATCTTCCATTTTATCGGTTGTTTACATTTTCATGGCTATAACTCAGTCGAAGGCTTGAAACTTTATCTCCCACCAAAAATGGCATTCAAAGGGTCCATTTACGGTCATTCAGGTAAATCGAAAACCCACAACACACTGGGACTGTCTAAAATAAATCATAAAAATATATCCTTTTACATCGGGCATTGGCAATCGCATCATCGATGAACATTTCAGATGTCGAGAAAATGTGTCTAGACGATGAATGGCACTTACACATACTAAAAAAAAAAATCTGAAATCTGACAATCATAAAAATGCGCCATTTAATGGCTCGATAAAGAGTTTCACAAAGCACAAAAGAGCAAACACCGGTAATAAAAACACATCAACGATACCATTTCGATTTTCTTCCGGATTTTCAGCAAGCACAAAAAACAACAATTCAAAAGAAACACCAGAAAAAGAGCAAAATCACACACAATTCCCACATCAGTGTGTAGCTATTTGTCTTGGTGTTAAGATGGTTTCTTTGTTGTTGTTGTGCTTCTCCGAATTTAATGGTTTTTTCCGCAATCGAGTTGTTGCTTTCTTCCGTCGTTTTTTTTTTTTTTTCATTCCAACGTCTCGCTTTCGTCACAACGATTTATCAGTGGCTTCCATGAACACTGGCCGTGCTTTTTGTTCGGTTAAATACTAGCTTAACCGTTGGATGTGATATGGGTTGAGTCAAGAGTAGTAGTTTTTGTTTGTTTTGGTTTGTGGTTTTTCATCATCAAGTGACCGACGCCCCAAAATACCCACAACGCCAAATGATGACATTATCACCGTTTGCGATACACCAACCGCCTCCGCTTTTTTCTCTCTGAGTATTTGATGGAAAATTCCCACAACTAGATTATTTGACATCATATTCTACCGTGCAAAGTATTCTCTTCCACTCTCTCTGTGTGTGAAATCAAATACATACCGTGCAAATATCCTCATTGAGTCAACCATTTCGAAAATTTTTACCACCGTAATTATTTCAACACGATCGTTGACACGAATGTGATAAATTGTCGCCCTTTTGACTCAAATGGCCACACAAGTGACCAGGTCAAACAGCAATCGACATATTCCAGCCAAATTAATCCGCTAAAGGCATTCAGCACTCACAACAATTTACAATCACTTCACACCTGAAATGAGGTTTTGTTGACCAAATGCTCTACATCGGCTATTACTTACCCAAATTATCGCCACATATCGTCGACGACATCAACTGCACCAGTATTATTCCCAACAGAACACGGCCCACCGTATTCATTCTCACTATTTGCATTCTACTTTTACACACGAATTTTTGATTTCTTTATCGTTTCTATGTCAATTTAAAATAAATATATGTCGTTTTATAGAGTTTTATAATATTTTGAAAATTGATTTCAAGTCCACTGCCTTAAAACATCTTAAAACTTTTATGAGATTTATGCTAGATTTTATGGTTGTTTGAGTTTTAATCTACTATTCTTAACACAACACACACTTGCCCAAAAGATCTTTGACTCTAAATATACACTCATAGGTTCTTTGTTTTTAACACCTAATTTAATGTTAGAAGTTTGAATTTGATTTCGTTTTGAATTAAGTAAATTTTCATTAAAATTGTTTTTTTTTTCTTCAAGTTTTCTTTTTCAATTGTTCACGGTCATTCATTATCTTGTTATACTGTTTCTGTGATTTTTGTGACTAAAAATCGCATCGAAAATTGCTAGTTCCTAGGAAATGAAATTCATTTGTGTTCATTCAAATGAAATTTATACACAAAGTTCACTGCCCATTGAAATAGTTTATATTCAATTGATTGTTTTTGCTCAACAGCTCTAACTGAATTTATGGTTTTTCTGCGATTTCTTTTATTTCTTTCGTGAATTAAATTTTAAAACACTTTCAATTCAAATTGTTTTTATCATGTGAATTCCTCATGCACTTCAAGCGTTTCTCTTGTGACAACAGAAATTCACCTCTCTCATTGAATTTCGTTGATATTCCCGATTGAATCGCATACGAGTTTTTTGTTCCTGGAATTTTTTCGTCAGCTTTTTTCCACAACCACAATGTGTATCACTTGAATTATTGAAAATGTTGATAAAATTTCATTGTTTATTAATTTCTTGGAAGGGCGCTGTAAAACAATCGAATTTGTTTGATTTACTGGATTGATCGTTTTACTCTGCAGGGAATTTGCAGAATTGAAACAATTTTTTTTCGGCCCAGCTCAAAATGTAATTTACATTGAAAATTATTTTTATTTTTTTTCGGGCACCCGCTGTATATCGATGCATTCGATTGTAACGCACCAATTTTTGTTCGATGCGACGGTGGTTTAAATATGTGTCACTGGGTTCCACTTCAATCAAACGGGTCGATGTTGCTTCCATTCACAAATCGCTAGCACTGTTGTTTTTGTGTAATCAAATTGAGTTGCGACGGAGAAAAAAATCGTGTTGTTCTGTTGCGGGAAAATTGGCAATGGATTGATAAAATATCACAATAAATGCATCTGTCAAACGGCATTTAAACACAGTTTTGCGCATTTTTTCCACATCGTTTACATTAATTGTTTTTTTATTGTGCAAAATGCAATTCATCAATGGGTTAATTTTTTTCTTCTTTCGAACAATTGCACTTGCATGGGGTGGGGTGGGGATCCTGCTGTTATATCGATTTTATTTGAAACCACAAAATGCTGAAGCACTGTTATTAACGACACCCGATTAAAAAAAACCTCGCTCTAGATGTGTTTTGGTTAATTGCAATTTTCAATTTGACATTTTTTTACGCTCGCACTTTTTTGTTTTTAATCCGCTCTTTATATTTAATCACTATATTTGAAGTGAAAAAAGAGATACTCTTTTCCGGGACGTGTTGTTGTTAAGCCTCGAAATCCACATAAAACTCGGCCGCAATAAATTTAAGCACACTCGGCTCTCGATACTGTAGTAGTGTTTTTTTTTTTGTCACGATTTCGACGGATAATGAACTCGTTTAATCCGTTTTCGGTGGCTTTTTCGAATCAACCGCATACATTTCACATTAATTCATTCGAATCACTTGATAGATTGGCATTAACATTTTTTTTTTCAGTCATTCGACAACAAACTGAAATTGTATTCACATAAAAGTTCGTTAGTGTTTCGGGATGTAAAATGATTTGTGATCAATTTGTAAAATGTTGGTTAGTTTCAACTAAATTCGAGCTATTTTAATTTCGATGCTTATTTTTAGTGTCTTTTGCACAATCATCCGAAAAATTGGCTCGTAATTTCACTGTGTTTTCAGAATGTCGGTGCCGGAATTTCAGAGATGATTTATATGGCGAAGTGTCCGATATCGACTTCCTCATGAAATATGGGTACCATTCGGAAATTTATTGCAATTTGATCTCGTTACGAAATATTTATTGTCTTTCTTTGTCTGTATTTCCGTCTCGTTGAAATTTACGCACCCGTTTCAAAACTTAACCGTTGAACAGCATGGCCAATTCAATCCATCACACGTTTCAGTGTCACTTTAATCTTTATTTTGTTCTTGTGTCACTTTTGATCGAGCGATTCAAAAGAAATCAACTTCACATTCACCAAAGCCAGAAATTAAAACCGAATTTTGAAAAATGGCACGAGATTTTCCTCCATCAAATAATCATTTCATGCGAACGGATTCGCTACGGATAATTCCAAAATAATTATCGTTTATGATAGATAACGTGCTTTTTTCGGCGAAGGCGATTTTCCGTATTGAGACACAAAAGAGCCACACACACACACAAAGTGGATTATCAGTGATATTATGTCAGTGTTCACCGTGTGAGCATCGGCATCGAACTAATCGACCAGTTCACAGTGGTACCGCAAGTGCATCGAACGAACGGATTCGACGGCGGAATCGGCTCAAACTGGAAAATCATTAATTTCGCAGGATTCTGTTTGAAGTACATTTACCCCTTGATTTCTCCTATTCTAAATTTGGAGTGATTCCCGACTCAGAAGTGCGCACGTGCGCCGCGAACTCTGGATTCGCCGTTGGAAATAGGTGGAAAATCTGTTGTAGAATATCAACTTGATTTCTATCTTCTTGAATATCAGTTGAACATTGACTACGTAACAAACCACACATCTTTCCTTGGCCGGAAAATGATTTTTTTTCATTGGTTTTCTAGAACAACTCTTTTCGATACTCATCCATTCGAAGGCAGTGAACTGTTTACATCGCCTTACCTTGCCGATGCTTCGATATTATAGCCTATTTTCGTATGCTGGGCATGTGTTTGTTGATTTTGGTAGCTATATTTTTGTTTTGGCAACACAACTCCCATTTCGTGATTTTTTCTTCTTTTTTTGATGGACGACAACAACGGCTGCCTTGATACACTGCATCTGATATGGCATACATATTTCCGCTTCACTGACTATTTCAATCCGCCACCCAAACGAACCGGTTTATTTATTCATTTTGTTTGCGTTGTTTTTTGTTCTTGTTGCTGTTGCTGCCGCTATCCCTCTCTTTTTTGCTAATTTTAGTATTTGTTGGTCCGCTTGATGGAAAGGATTTTTGCGTGTATTTTTTTCTTTGTTCACATCAATATTTAATGATGTTTGAATTTTTTGTTGCTACTTCAATATATGGGTTTTCGTATAATGCGGACTTGAATCAAAAATGAATTAAATCATTTTTTCATCGAACAATCCTATGATGGGTATTAAAATAGAGAATACATTTCTCAATATGTTTGTGAGAACAGTTTGCTGACAACAACACCCAAGCTTTTTGGAAAATTCAACTTGGCATATGGTCGACATCAGTTAAAATGTAATAATCATCACTGGAAAAGAAAAATGAACGAATAATTTTGTGGACGGAGTCAAATTTTCAAATTCATCAAATGCTTCAATATATATTTTCAGTTCCCATTTAATAAAAGTATCTGATGGAACACAATTTTCTTTTCCGGCCTTTTTTTGTTAGCAAAAATGGAATAGAAAAAGGTTTGAAATGTTTTTTACTTTTCCGCACACGAAGTTTGAAGAAGAATCTATATGTTTGTTGGACCGAATTGGACCGAATTGGACCAGTCTATCTGGTACTTTTGGTATATCATGGAATTTCACCCAAGGGTCCCCCCTCGGATTTTTCGATCAAAAAAAAAATTCTTTAATTTTTAGCACTGAATGGAATGTAGAATACATGGAATATAGGCTATTGCATTTGTTTTTTTTTTCCCAAGAAATTTTTAAGACTCTTTAGGCCATTTTTTTGGACCGAAAATTAATTCTTTTTTCTATCCAAAGTTCTAACTTGAAATAAAGCAATTACGCCTAATTACAAAAATATAATAATGTCATGTTCATGTAATTCATGTTTGAGATAACTCAAAAAAAAAAATTCATATCATTTTTATTCTCAATGTGAAATAATGTACAATCCACGTTCACATTATCATTCCCAAAACCAAAATAATATAATTAATAAAACCATAATTTATTTAATTAATATATATTAATATTTATTTATGTATCCATATGATTAATAACTAAATTTTTTAATGTTTCTTTTATATATTTAATTTTTTCAAAGTACGGCAATTTAGTGAAAGATTTGTCTAATGAATTTTTTGTCTGGGTCGAACATTATTGATTTTGATTAAAATAATTTTCATAAAATACAGAAATGTATACTTCGATTGAAACTACATTCCATGTAGTGCTTGAATGAATAATTTGATGGAGTTCAAATTATCGTAAAAAAAACCATTTTAAACAACGCAAAAAGAACGCAGAGAGGAGCGAAGCGATGAATTTTTTTTTACTGTTTTTACACGATTTTCCCATGGTAAGTGATGTTGAATGGTGTTATAACACGATGGTCGACCACGATGGACTTCATACCATTTCTACATAAGTACAGTAGAGTCTCGATTATCCGTCAGTCACCGGACCGGCATGTTGACGGATAATCGAAAAAGACGGATAATCGATTTTTTTCTAAAACATCTGAAAATGGCAGAAAAGCAATGAAATATATGTGCGGTTGCGATAATATGAATGTTTTATTAAGAAAAATCATATGGCAAACCTTTCGACTTCAAATCTTGCTGAACGAACGGCACAAAAAACAATCAGAACCACTTCGGACGATGACCTGAATTATAATGAGTGCGGATTACACAAATTAATCTAGTGAACTGTCGTTAAATCAATGCCAAATGCAAAATCAATTACAGTTGTGTAGTTTCATTTTTGGTGTTTTATTTATCGTGCGCCGAGACAAATACAAAAACAAACACGAAACGACATGATTCACCAGTGCGATACTCGAGTACTTGTCAACTGAGTGGAATCATGCAAGTTCTCTGGTGAATGTAACAATTTCGTGCGCGTTTATATCATTTTTTTACAAGTTTTCACGTAGGTAAATCTCCCTAGGCTGAATGCCATAAAATTTAAGTTGTTATTTTGAGCAACGACAACAAATTAGGTCTAATTTATTGTTTTGCATTTTTTTTTTCTGCATGACGCTGCCAGAAATGCAGGCCTGCCACAGATTTTTTTTTTTTTCTAAAAAAGCTGAAAAAGCTGATATTACCAGTTTGAAAAAGCATGCAGCTGATGAAATTAATATGGAAAAATCAAAGAAGCAGTTATAAAAATAGTTTTTTTTATAGTCGAATCATAACTGAAATTTTATTTTCAATCTTACTTGCTACGCAGTTGACTTATAAATAATTTTGCTAACTGAATTAAATTTGACTTCCATGTTTTCAATATGTTTATCTCGCATCAAGTGTTGGGTCACAGCAGCAAATCCTTTGCTTTTGATGTTGATAGTACTATCGCAGGCTGAACATCTCAACGTAAAATCTTCTTCTTTCTTGAAAATTTTTTTGTATTTCACATCTTCCATTTCAAATTCCAAATTAAACCAATCATTATGAGCTTTGCATGACATTCTATTTCACAATAGAAATGTACTTGTTTGATTTGAATGGAAATGTGACTCGTGCGAAAATCGAATGTAAACTGATTGTTGCATTATTATATTTTTGATATTTGGAGCTACCGCTTGAGCCAAAAAATGCTTGTGCACGCATTTCCACATCTAGCAAGTGTTCGCCGAATTGGAGAATAACAAAACAGTAATTTCTTCTTTTCAGTTTCGTAATTGCCTCTTTACATCGATTTATAAACATGATCTATCAAGTGTTGTAATGCCAAATCGAAGCAATAACAAAAACAATAATTTCTTATTTACATTGATTCATATTTAAATATGCTGACCAATGCGTTTCAGATAAATTGAAAGAATGACACCGTGTCATAGCACAGTGCCAATGATTCAGAATAAGATTGAGTTAATATTGTCTTCATAAGAAAAAAAAATGTTCACTTTTTCATTGCTCTGTCCGAAAACGCGTTTCGTATCATTGTTACGTATGATAAGCATTTTTTTATTGAGATTTTTTTCATCATTTGTATTAGTTTTCTCATTATTTTTTTTAAAAGCTGAAAAAGCTGAACTGTGACCGAAATAGCTGATAATAGCTGAAGATTTCCAAAAAGCTGATAATCAGCTCAAAAGCTGACCTGTGGCAGGCCTGGAAATGCGACTCGAAAATAAATAATTTTGCTGATAAGAGTAGCTTTTATAATTTGCAACAGAGAAGTTGCGAAATCTATGACATTGTTCGTTTTTTAAGAGAAGAGAACAAATCATTTTTGTACAAAATTCAAACCTGTAGCAAAAAGTAACAACAAGCTTGGATAATTTCATTACACTAACAAATTTTGTCTTTATTTCGTATACTTAAAACTATTCAAAATAATTTAACTTAATTCCCAAATCGTCATTCTCAGTTTCTTAGAAACAGAGCGTGTTTTGAGCTGACGTCAGCAGAACTAACTAACGTCAGCTGCTGAGCTCAGCTGCTGACGAGTATGCGTTGCGTTGTTTTTAACGCATTTGCAGTATAAGAACGAAATGGTTTAATCTCTCCAATAGTAAGTTTACTCACCCTTTCGTTCTTATACTGCAAATGCGTTTAAAACAACGCAACGCATACTTGTCAGCAGCTGAGCTCAGCAGCTGACGTTAGTTAGTGCTGCTGACGTCAGCTCAAAACACGCTCTGCTAGAAACGATTTCGAAATGTTAATTATAAGCAAAATAGAGTCTAACTGGTGGTACATTGACAATTTCATAGCTGCGATCGATG